TCTCTCTCTCTCTCTCTCTCTCTCTCTCTCTCTCTCTCTCTCTCTCTCTCTCTCTCTCTCTCTCTCTCTCTCTCTCTCTCTCTCCTTCTCTCTCTATCACTTTCATTGTCTCTCCTTTGAGCTTTGACCTTCACCTCTTCCCTCCCCCTCCTCTTCCTTCTTGGCACGTAACTAGCCCCACCCCACTTGTTACATTGTCAGGGAACGAACGGTGAAAAGAAGCGGTCCTCAGTTGGTGTAGAAAGAGAGCAAGGGAAGGGTAGCCGGTCGCTTGCGCCACCAAGAAGGAGAAAGGAAAGCCCATTGAGGATTTTGGGAAGGCAAGATCCTTGCGAAAAGAGAAGGAAAGAGAGTTTGGCACAAGGTCAGTTGACTCAACCATTCCCCCAACTGCATGACTAAGGAGAATGCATGGTTTGATTGTGGGAAGGAAGGGTAGGTTGAAAGAACCCTGGAAGGGAAAAAGAACTTAGGCTTGCGGGAAGGGCAATGTGTTGACCCCAATGGGGGATTGTATCGGTCTTTGTTTTGTGTGGGACTATGCAGGTGAGTAGCTTAGGTCACTTGAGCGGGATTGGGTCCGGGATTTGCAAGCGAAAGGAAAGGATGAGGATCCGACGGGGAAGGCCACGGGCCTAGCGTAAACTTTTATGCGGGTGGACCTTGGTGTGGGATGCTTGGGAAAGAGGGTCAAGGAAAAGAGGGTGTGGCTTTGCATGATGAACGTGTGTTTCGACTCCTTGCATGCAATATGGAAGCCCGAAAGGACTAAGGGCGAGCGACGGATATGTGAACAGGATGCAATCGTCAACCAAAAGAAAAATTAGGGGCTATGGGATGGACGGCGCCGCCGCGCCCCGATGATGCCATGGGGATCGTTGTGCCTAGGGAAAAAAATGTGTGGCCCAAGGATGACGCTTGGCCTAAGCACAAGAGAGGAAAAACTCTCACTAACCCCCCTGGACTGTATGTGTATTGGAAGGAGCAATTGTCTGGCCACACCTAAATGAATTGAGAAAAACGTCGCGAGTGACCATAAAGCTACCATCTAGCACGAGAGCGGAGCTACATCCCCTAATGTAAAGTCCTCTCGCAAATGACCCATCCCCATCCATCTCATAGCACTAGGTGGGGGTGCCCCTAGGACGAATGACCCGCGCCCTTAGCGTGAGCATGGGCGGGTCGAGCCAAATGGGACCCGCAAAGGGGTGGACTCAGGCTCGAAAGCCTAACAGGGTACGGCCCTACAAAAAATGGTGGAGGCGCCGGGTATAGGGTTAAATTGACCCTTACGATTCTGGAAGGGGCGTCCACCGCATGATCGTGTACACAGCCGAAGAAAAGAAATTTGGACTTGTGCGTGCTCTTTCCCTTTAGTGAATCAGACTTGAGAGTGGCTGGGCGCATGGCATGGTCAGGCCTGAAGGTATAACATGTTTGAGTGCACTTGATTAGCCATCTCCTCGTGAGATGTCTCTAGCCCCCCTTCCTCCGGCGCTGGTGTTCGGCAGTCCGGGGAAGCCTCGGGCAAGTCGAAGGTCGACCCTTCCTCTTCGTGTGAAAGAAGGGCTCCAGTTACCTGGCAGGCGGTTGGTGCTTCGGCTTAGGCCGGATTCCAATGAAAATCCCGCGCCGGAGTGATCCGGCCGATTGGGTGCTCTTCTCTCTTTCTTCTTCTGAGCCCAGCGGGCTCATGCACTATGCACGTTAAATGCTTGAAGGAACCAATATCAGCACAATGGTAATCGAGAAGGAACGATCCTACCCTATGAACGGACAGACGAAGGAAGATAAGGGAATAAAGGGAGTTGCTAGACTCCAAGGAAAATTAGCTCACCCTTGAAGATGCTCACGAAAAGGAACCAACCACTGTGTATGGACAATTGGGGGAGTGACACACATTGTTCTGAGAGAGAATTGTGAGGCTTGGGTTGGAAGCGCTGGGTGCACCAAGGGAAAGACACTTGTTCTATGTGTGTCCCACTTGGGACTTGTGATCTGCATATGGGGAACTGAGCGTCCTGCCACTTCGGAAGGAAAGAGTGGGTTTGCACCAACTGGTGTGGGAGTGCGAAACGTCGTTCTTTTTGAAGTTCGCCAGGTTCCATGCGCGGAGGTCGGGCCACGGAGCTGTCTGACAGGAGTTGGTCTCGTCGGTTGATTAGTAGCATTCCCTCCTGGGTAGACCGAGCATCGCTCGGCACCTTACCCACATGGGGTGTGAAACGTCTCCTCAGGCGGGGCGGCTGCTTGTCGGCAGATGACAGGGGGACCACTGCGTGTGGGGCACAAAGGGAGCCTCGGAGGCGATTAGTAGCTCCTCGCGGTACGGCATGGTAAAGGCTGATTCTTATCAGACCAATGGATGTGAATGCCCGGACGACTGACTTTTGTCCTTACAGGGGTACGCGGGGTGACTCCCGGTGCCAACGGGGGTGTGCAAGAGCGTCAAGACGGGATGGGGTATTCTGGGCAAGAAGGTGAGGGTGTTCCCCCACTGGAGTCTGGGTATCGGGCTCGCGACGGTTGAGCTGTGCTTGAGGTACGGGATAAAACTGTGCCGATAGTAACAATGGAGAGACCACTTGGGAAAAAGGATGCTGAGGAGATGACCGGCCTGTGTGCGAGGATTGCCTGGTTTTGTTTCTTTTTCGTGCCTTCCTCTATAAAGTTGTTTGAGATTGTTGGGAAGGGACCTAGTTCCCAAGTCTGTTCTCACCTCCTATCTAAGTCTGCACGAGTGAGAGAAGATGGACAGGGAGCAAGGATAGGAGTCGGAAGGAAAGGAACCAAGAAAAGGAATGTCAGCTGATGATGACCAATTGAAGGTGCGACGGGGTAACAATACTCGGAAAGTGGGCGAAGGAAATTAGGAAGACCCTGATGGGGGGTCTGAAATAATTCTCATCTAGAAAAGGAGTTAGCCTGACCGGAGGGGCCGTGTGGTGCTCTCTTATGAAAAACAGGAACTGGGGACCAGAAAACGGGATGACGCGGTGGCTGTCGTCTCCAGTCTATCCTAGCGGTCCGGAAATGCTGATAGATGTAAAGGGCGGAGTATCCATCGTTCTCCCGGAAGAAGGAACGTGGACAGACCTGGAGCCAGCCTATCAAACTGTGATGCTGGACAAGAAGGACGCGTTCCTCTGGATAAAGACGATATGGATTAAGGTCGGTCTGACGAGACTGTTGTCGAGCTTGATGGACTTGGAATTCTGGAGGACGGTGGAAGCCCGAGGGTGGGTCTACCTATTCCAAGAAAATGAAAATGCGACGGTAATAGAATTGGTGTTGGGGACTGTGCCGGACTTGCTATTTAGGCAGGCAGAGCGGGAGGTAGTATGGGCAGCTTGTCAACGGGTGAAAATGGAGAGGGACAGAGTAGAGGTGCGAGTGGAACTCGGGGATAGAGAAAACGTGAGGCGACCCCTCAGAACGATGAGATCCGTACTACCCTCGTTTCTGGTGGACGCGGTTTTTGGAACCCGGAATAGATTGGAAGAGATATGCCGGTCAATGACAAACCTGAGGCTGTACCAGTTGCTCGACAAGACTTTTTCAAGTTGTCGGTAGCAATGGGGCCTTTCGGAGGAAACTGGGCGGAAGAGTTAGCCGACATGTTAAACTACCTTAGCACTGACGACGTCTATGTCCCTAGCCCAGTACATTGGCAGATAGTTTACCGGAATGTGGCAATAGGGGAAACCTTCTTAGAAGGGTTGAGGGAATTGTTCTACGATGAAGAGGATGATTTCAGTGACGGCGGGAACGATGACGAGAAAGGATTGAGACTTTTGAGAAGGGAGGCTTACCCGGGGAAATGGGTGGTCGGCTCTGTGCAGGAAGAAGGCAATGGCCAGGGAACTACTGCTAAGGGACTGCACGTTTAAAGGATGGGAGCCGAAACGAGTTAAAGGGGGGGAAGAAATGTCTATACCAGCAGATAATGAATGGAGAGGGACCACATGCGACTGGATTGGAATCGAGATTGCACCAGAATTATCGTACCTATGGGTAGAACGCATCTGGAACCCGATGAGGAAAGAGGAAGGATGGGAGGAGATTGCGGAAGGAAGGGTGGAATCGGTCGGGACGGCCATCCTCTTCGAGCAAGGGTGACACCTATTTTGCATAACGCTTGCAGCAGGACAAAGTCCGGTGTGGCTTCTGGGGAATGCCGAGGCAAGGACTCGGAGGGCAGGCGAGAGGTTTGCCAACAAATTTGGGTACCCGAGTTCGTGGCGGACTGGTTGGGGGTATTGACCACGTGGCAGACGTGGCCATCACTATGGGGCGGATACACGTAGATTGTGCATGGCTGTCAGAAGAGTTTTATAAAACATCGCTGAAATTCAGGCCCTTCTACGGCGACAGAGTCGGAGAGGTCCTCATCATTTTGAATACGGACCGGTACGACCAACAAGAAGTAGCCCCAGAGATCAGGGAGGCCATAATCCGCAGAGAGGTAGCGGCAACACCTTGCTATGTGGATGATGTGTTCAAACTATTCGAAGTAGGAGCAGGAAAAACCCGAACTAGCGGGGTAAGCTAGGGGGTAAGGGGAGAAGAGAGGAAGGAAGGGGAAAATTAGGGGGTGACGTAGATTGGAAAACATGTATACTATGTGGACCAGCCAGGGATAAAGATACTAAGACGGGGAATGGGGTGTCCGACTATTGTGAGGGTCACTGCGGCGTCGCAGGATAAGGATCAAAGGCGGGTAAAGGACATGCAATGACACGAAGGAGGACGTTCCTCGAGGGTCGCCCACTGGGGATTGAGCCGCCAAGGGAAGTGACCGGCGACGTAGAAATCAGCCGACCTACCGTAAATGAGATCCGGCACCCGTTGGTGGATTGGGTCGGGGTTGAGCTTATGGAAAACACGGTTTACCTGGTGACCAAGGTTGAATGGCATGCGGATGGAAATGATGGGTGGAACCCGGACCCGCGGGGACATGTGCGCGCGGAAGGAAGGTTGTATATGTCAGGGGACGGATGGCGCGCGTTCAGGGTCCTGCTAGCGTCGGGGGAAGATCCGCTAAACATGTTCGAAGGAGCATGGCAGTTGGTGTGGCAGGCAGGGTTCGAGTTCGCGGACCCTGAGTTCAATGATGTAATGGCGGACCTTAGGGTGGCCATGGCCGGGAGTTTCAATTTGCCTGGTGAGAATGTTCGAATGAGATTGCCACCCTTCTTACTAGAAAAATTGGGTGGGCTGGATTTTGTCAGGCGGGTAGTGGCCGACCTCACCGACCTGAAGTTTGAAGAGACGATGGTCCACCGAGAATATTACCGGGCCTTCCTAGAGATAGGGCCGTTCGACGGTGAGCGAAGATGTGAGGTGTTGTGAATACTGCGCGCCGTGTTCACCACAAGGCCTAGAGTTTCAGTGGTTAGCGATGAGGTTCTATGGGGCGTCGTCCGAAGAGAAATAGACCAGAGGCTGATTTACGTAGATGATTTGTACCGCCTATACGAGCCATCAGAAGTGGAGATAGGTCAATGAAAAGAGAAAGGAAAGAAAATGGAATAAGGAGGAAAAGGAAGGCGAGATAAGGACCAGGGACTGCCCAAGTGGTGGTCGAAGGAATGAATGAAATAAGCAGAGTTCGCTTGCTGTTTAAACTGTGCAGGGAACCGCTAACCGACGATGGCAATGAGACGCGCCCGGATGTCGCGACGACCCACACACTCTCGGCCACCCGTGGAAAGCGGAGATGGATGGGAAGTGTCACTTTCGACAAGCTACACAGTTTGGGGGATTGACAGGGAGTGGAGAGCTGTGACCTTGGGGAGGGACTAGGCGTTCATGATGGTAGAATGTTTGTGGAGTGGTATGAGGTTCAATAGGGGGCCGGGGGACGATCTATATGCTGAGTTGAGGGTGACAGGGACCGTATACCTACCGGAAATTGGATGGCACATGCTAGGAACCGAGATGGCACTAGGGCATGGGCTGCTGCCGATCTTCCGAAGGGCTGCCAGGGCAGTGGACCGGACAGGTCAAAAGGTTCAGGGGAGGAGGAATGTAGGACTGAGAACTCTGGTGGAGGTAGGAGGATGTCGAGAGTTTAGGGCCCCGATGACAGGATTGCGGTGTCGAGTACCCCGTTTCATGGTGGACCTAGTATTCGGCAGCCTCTCGAGGGCAAGAGACTTGGTGGACTCGACCCTAGTTTGGATCCACCACTTCCAACTGCAGATGACGGGAATGTTTTACGATGTGTCAGTCAGGCATGGGCCGTTTTGGGGAAATCGGCCCCGTGAGCTACTCGAACTCATCGAAATTCTGATATTCGGGTTACCGCGCTTGGCGTTCGAAGAATATGAACCAATAATTATCAGGGAGATAGAAATGGGAGAAAATTACCTTGTAGGGGTGGCTAACCTGTTCGAAGAGCCTGATGAACGGGGCAGGCATGAGGGACCGGCGTAAGAAAAGTACCGGGGACAGGCAGCGAAAGCAAAGGTTGGAAAAACAGAATGAGGGATTGACCATCTGTGGAAGGTAGTGGTCGGAGTCCTATTCTACCTTAGAACACAGCAAAAAGGGACTAGGAAGGCCATCACCGTTGAGGACGCTGAGGGCATCCGGGAGTCGGGAATGCAAAAGGGTCATCCTCAAGAGGAGAGTCGCTAACCCTGGATACCGCCTTAGAACCGAGGTACGGCAGTGACAAAACGTTGAACCTCGGCAGCGAGCCTTCCGGCAGAAGAAAAGAAACTGGCACCCTGCTGAGTAAGAAAACGTCAGATAAGCCGTCCCGACTGTTATAAGACGGAAAGTATGGAAATAGCAAAAATAAGGAGGACCTTAGGACCTGGGAACTAGGGAAGATGTGAACAACCGGCCGTCTCGCAAAAAACGTTTTCCATGTGCAAGGTTAGGAAAGGATGGCGTCAGAAGAAGAGGCTGGGAACTTGCGGAGCAAAGGGAGTCAGGGCACGGAAAGGGGTGTGGAACGGAACGAAGGGTCGGTAAGGGACCGAGAGTCGGCGAATCCAGAAGGAACCAAGGAAGACGGGAAGGATCTCTCGATGGGGGAAAGTTCGAAAAAAGTCGGCGGAGGTAAATGAGGATCTCAGGGGAATAAAGAAGGAAGGGATAAGGAAAGGTCGGGTCCGCGAAGCTTGGATGGGGTCATATCCAAGAAAGTGAAAGTCTCGGATGCGCGACGTAAGTTGGAAGAAATAGAAAGGCGAACCACGAAGTATAAGGCAAAGCTTATTGAGGAGATGATGGTTGGGAATGAAGGGGATCGTCCGGGGGAGGAACCACGGGAAGAGCGGAGGACCAGTCAGGACGAAATCGGGCACGGAAGGAAGGATAGTAGCCACAGGAGGTCTCCTAATAAAAAAGGAAAGAAGAAAGGGGACTTTCCGGGTGTAGAAGCAGAAAAAGCTACAAACCCCCCTGCCATAGACAGTGGTGCTAGCCGCTTGCCTGCCGCCCCAAAAATAATGAAGGTTTGTGACGGACTTTGAAGTCCCAGAGAAAGGGTGTTAGGATGGTTCGATCCGGAGGGAACAACGAAAGTCAGAGAAAGGCAGAAGGATAGCAAGGAAGGAGAAGGGGCTAGTACGGCTGGCGAAGCAGGTAGCTCTGAGGGAGGACTCAATAAAATAGTATCCACCCTCACTCGGGCGCTGAACAAAAATCAGGGGTACCTAGCGGATGCCAAGAGGAAACTCACTTTCGACGGGGCGAACATTACGGAATTCCTGATATACTACGAGAACCTAGCAGCCTTGTTGAAATGGAGTGAGGAAGTGAAGATGGACCTCCTAGGGCAGCACGTGTCACTGAGCTTGGGAAGAGACATAATGACCATCGTCGCCGCCAGCGGATCCTGGAAAGAAACCCGAAATGAGATGATGAGAAAATACCTAAAGGCGGAGAAAATAGTTACAGAAGCAGAATTGACAGTTGTTCAGAGGAAGAACTATGCAACTTACAACGCCTTCCTAGGGGCATTTACTTTAGTGGCGCTACGGATTCCCGGGGTAACAGACTTGATCATGAGCAAGTATTTCCTTAGACAGTTCTCCAAGTTCGACAAGGATAAGATTTTGTCGGCCTATCAACAGATCAACAAATTTGAGTACACAAGGGACGTAGACTTCAGCACGGTAACAGACCTCGCAGAGAAGACAATGGTAACCGAGATGTTAGCCTTGCTTAAAGAAGGGGAAGTTATAGACTTGATCGAAAATACGGGAGATAAGGTGAAGAAGGGGATAGAAAGCTTGCACGAACAGTGCACGGGGTTGATAATAAGATAGAAAGGGTGGAAAATGCACTATTGGTTATGCAGGCGCAAGTATCCCGACCCGCCCTCCCGCCCAAAGAGGCTGTGGTCCCGGCAGCAGTAGCCAACCGAGGATACGGCAGGAAAGATCCGGCCAATGAGCATTGTAGATATTGCACGATGATCGGACACTTTGTGCGAACCTGCCCAGAACTCAATCACGACATTATGAGGCAGAGGTGTAGCAGATCCCTTAAAGGCGAAATTTTCGGACCTCAGGGAGAGTGAATAAACTGGAATTCACCAGGTGGAATGCGGCGAGCGGTTATCATCCTAAATAACCTGGATATAGCCGCCGTAGAAGCCGAGCCGGTAGCAAACATTGTTTGGGACCAGCCGCGGGGCCGCGGAGCACAAGTCAATTTCATCCTAGAAAGTAATGGACAAGATAGGGTGAACATCACCACTTGGCAGACAGGGGCAGAAAAGAAACTTATCCGAGATACGGTAATGGAAGAGGTTGCAGGAACCAGTGCAAACCAAGGTGAGACTGAGACCGGGGAGTTGGAGAAAGTTTACGGGAAAACAAGGGAAGAGGAACCGATAGACAAAGCCACGGCGGCAAAGAAAAAGTTTAGATACCAAATCCCGATCTTGACCATGCCAGAAATCGATGACACCCTAAGCAAGTTGTTGGGAACCATGGTGTCGGTGTCCTTTCAAACTATGCTGCAAGCAAGCTCGAGATTGCTTAAAGGACTCAGACAATTATTAACTCGCAGACGCGTAGAGGTGGAAGAGGCCCCAGAAATACAGAAACAGGAAACGGAGGAGGTTGAGGCACTGCAAGGGGTCGCCAACCTCCAGAGGATTTCAGGAGATCTGAAGGACCTGGAAAAAGGTCTTCGCAGACATTCGCTTAAGCCTACCTGACCGAGAAGGTGGCGAGGTCATGAGGGCACCTCTCGGGACAAAGCTCGGCTTCCATGCACTACCTGTAGGAAAGTTGAAAGTCCAGATCGGAACTCATCATACAAACGCACTAGTAGACGGAGGCGCCGAAATTACCCTCATACGTAGAGACTTCGCGACGATTACGGGCTGCACGATAAACAAGAAAGTAACAGGGAGAATCCGGGGGTCCGGCGGAAAAATTTTGTTCGTTGGGTATGTCACTAAGTGTGCGGTCAAGGATGGGGTCAGGGAGTCGATCTGGTCATTTCAGCGGATGACTGTAATGGAGGAAATGGACCACGACTTAATCATCGGGAAACCATGGTGCGCCAATGTAGAAATGATAGGCATGCACTTGCACGATGACACTTACATGGTAGATATAGAGGACCCAGTGACCGGTCGGGGAGAGTTTCTCCGACTCCTTGGGACCGGAGGAGACCCTCCGAAGGGAAAGTTGGCGACTTTGTCACCAACGTTCGAGGATAGTGCGCGAAAAGGAGCATTCGCCTGAATGGAAGGTATGAGAGAAAGGGTGGAAATCATGATTAAGGAGGCTTTTAGCAAAAGAGAATGGATCAAGATGGGTTTGCCTCTGATGAAAAGGAGGCAAGAAGACGAGGTCTTAGGGGTCATGGTAGCAGAGAAGGAGTCGGAAGTTGAACTTGGGGTCAGTCTGCCTAAGCCGAAGGAGTGTCGGAAGGAAACGTCGGAGGTAACAATCGAAATTACAGACCTGTTACAACTCGTCAAGGTTATCAAGTACCACAAGGTGGGAGTGGACCCGGCAGCTCTTGCAAAATTTGAGGATGAGGTCCGAAAGGGCTACTGTCTGAACGGGAAGGTAGTCAACATTCAACCCCGCGTCGCGGAGATAGCAAACCCGATTCCAACCATTCATTTTTTAGAAGAACGATCCCCGAACGAAGTATTCAGAAGTATAAACCAATAGGAAAGAAAGCTAAGCCGGTTTCGATCCTAGTGGAGACATCAAAGGGATGGCCATGGAAAAGGAGGAAGAAATTTTGAGGGTAATAAGGGCGAGGCGAGCGGAGGAAGGGCATCGGATACCCGACGAGATGGCAGACACCATGAAAATAGGGATAGACGGGTTCCTAACGGAGGAAGAAACCCGACTAAGCATGCCAAGAATATCACTTGGCTTTTGCATTCAATGACTATCAGAAAGGTCAATTGGATGTGAAGCTAATTTTCTCCGTTAGGATCCACGCAGTGGAACATGAGTGTTGGAACGACAAAGGGTCTGCCTACGAGTTCGGAATATCAGCAGAGGTCACGGAATTACTCAGAGCTAAGATAGATTCGTTCGTGGCAGAACCCACTGCGTCCCCCTACGCAAACAAGTGGTTTTTTTTTCGGAAACCCAACAAGACGCTCAGGTGGATCCAAGATTTGCAGAAGCTGAATGCGATGACAATTCGAGACGCGGGATCGCTTCCACAAGCCGATCTGCTGGCAGAATCTCACGCTGGCCGGAGCATTTACTCCTTGATAGACTTGTATTCGGGATATGACCAACTGCCACTCGATGTCAAGGATAGACCGTACACCGCCATGCATACCCCTGTAGAGCAACTGCAGATGCAGGTAACCCCTATGGGCTTTACGAACATTGTGGCGGAAACACAGAGGAGGATGTTTGCGGTAGCAGGAGACATGTTCCCGGAGAAATACGAGTCGTATATAGATGACAATCCCATAAAAAGGGCGCGGAACAAAGATGAGACGGAGGTCCAGCCGGGGGTTTGGAAGTTCGTTTGGGATCACCTACAGGATGTCAACGACCTACTCCAGCGGTTCCTAGTATATAATATCACCGCAAGCAGGCCAAAGAGCATCCTCGCGGTCCCAGAAGTGACCATACTGGAGTTTCGCTGTGGGTCCTATGGGAGGAAGCCTGACCCGACAAAAACGGATAAGATCTCTCAATGGCGAACACCCGTGTGCACCACGACGGACGTACGCGCCTTCCTGGGGGTGGTTGGATTCTGGAGGATCTTTATCAAAGGGTTTGCCAAAATAGCTGAGCCTATCCATGAGATGATTAGGGATGGAGGAACTATGGAATGGACCGAGGATAGGGAGGCAGCGGTTCAAACCCTCAAAGACATTTTCACTTTTGATCAAGTCACCTTGGCGGCACCCTGCTTCAACGATGAGGTAGGACGACCATTTATCGTGGAAACAGATAGAGGACCGTTGGCAGTAGGAGGTGTTCTGATACAAAGGAACGAGGAGGGCAAGGAAAGACCTATTAGATTCGAAAGCAGGACCCTGAATTCTGAAGAACGGCGATACTCCCAGTTCAAAAAGGAGGTCTTAGCCATCCTACATTGTCTTAAGACCTTTCAGGCATACCTATTTGGAATACGGTTTATCCTGAGAATTGATCCGACCAACGTCGCAGGGGCATTGAAGAACTACAAGCCTATAGACCCGATCGTTGGGAGATTGATAGGCTTTATCTGGCAGTTCGATTACAAGATCGAGCGAATTGCGGGGCTCCGAAACAAGGCAGACAGGCTAAGTCGGGTCTGCATCACACCGGAAGGCGTAGAGGATATGGAACCCATCGACGCCTTCTTGGAATATGAGGGTGGAACCCTCACCATGGATAACGAGATGATGAGGTCCGCCTGCACGCCAGGGCAATTGCTGAACCAGACTTTAGAAAGGGGGACGCCTGCCATAGTTGCGGAACTTAGGGAAGGGCCAGTCACCACGATGAGACGTAAGGATGAAAAAGATTCGTGCGGAGCAACAGTGAGGATGAAAGAGGAGTTGATAGCGATGGTCGTAGAAGGGGGTCGGGACGCCGTGATGTGCCTAGTAGAATCTTGGGCGCAAAGGGCGCTGCGGTATTTAGTAAATCGGACTCAGGAAAAGCAAGATACGAGCCAGGAAGAACAAGAATTCTTCCTCGTACAGATGTATGATGGTATCTTCCGAGAGATCGGCCTGTTACTTATAGGGAAGAAGCAGCCTATAGAAGTCAGACTCAAGGCAAGAAAGGAAATTGAAAAGTATGCCTTAAGGAACGGCCATCTGTTTAAGAAAGAAGAACGAATGACGCCTAGGCGAGTTGTGTGCGGAAGGTCTAGGCAGTTGGACGTAATACAGGCAATGCATGATGGACTAGCCGGAGGGCATCGGTCGTCAAAAGGGACCCTTGCAAAGATCGCGCCACTCTATTTCTGATCTGGCATGGCTACTCGGGTGTTGGGGCCAGGGCATCTGGTCCATCTCGACCTCGCTGTCATGCCTGTATCGACTGACGGATACAGGTATATCTTGGACGCAAGGGATAACCTGAATGGTTATGTAGAGGCAGTGACTCTTAAAAGAAAGACGGGGAAGGGAGTAGCAAACCGGATAGAAGACTTTTACCTGAGGCACCCCTTTATTCAGAGGTTTATAGCGGACAACGGGACGGAGTTCATAAACCAGGGAGTGCTAGGCAAGTTGAAGATGTTGTGTGTGTCTATCAAGATCATAGAGCCGTATCATCTTGAGGCCAACGCGCCTGTTGAAACGGGGCACCGGACCGTGAAAAACACAATTGCTAAGCTGGCGGCAGACGACCTGGGGAATTGGCTCCGGTACCTAAAGCAGGCAGTCTTTTTAGAGAACATGACACCGAAAAAGACAACGGGATGCATTCCGGCAGAACTCTGGTATGGGAGGGCGATTGATTTCCCAGTGGAAGCATTGGTACCCACCTGGAATAGGCTGGAGGACGACCCGCAAATGTCCACGGAGGAACTAATTGAGGCACGATGTCAACATGTTCTTAGAAATGAGGAGACCTTGGAGGATGTTGTTAAGCAAGTGATGGATAGTCGAATGAGAGACAAAGCAAGGTGAGACAAGGTCAAAAATATCCAGAAAGAGCCTCTCCAGGTGGGGGAGATGGTATTGGTTAGGAACTCGGCACTTGAAAGCACGTGGTCAGGACAACTGGGAAAAAAATTCAAAGGTCCCTACCGGGTCGCTAAGCGGGTGGGGCTGAACACCTTCGAGCTTGAAGATCTTGATTGTATTGGATTAAAAGGATCATCACCGGGTCAGAGGTTGGTCAGGTTCCTAAGCCGGGACCCAGTGGAACAATGGTTGCAGGTGTAAGGATTTTTTTTTTTTTTTTTTTCTTTTTCTGGGGCAGGGGTGACTGCTTGGGCTGAGTACGGATGGGGTTGGGGACTCTACGGCAATGTACCATATTTTTTGTGGGGTAATGGTGGGAGTGTCTATATGGGGCATCTATGTGTTGGGGCAATGTACCATAATTTTTGTGGGGTGATGGGAGCGTCTACCTACGATGTCACTCTGAAAGGACTACCAATCATATGGGAATGAGCAAGGGTTCTGGGGAGTAAGCCTACAAATTCGCAATGGGAGTGGGAGGGAATGTGTGTATATGGGGGCTGNCCAATCATATGGGAATGAGCAAGGGTTCTGGGGAGTAAGCCTACAAATTCGCAATGGGAGTGGGAGGGAATGTGTGTATATGGGGGCTGTTGTGTTTTTTTTTTTTTTTTGTTATGTATGCACAGAACCAGGGAAAAAGAATACAGCAGAAAAGACAAAAATGGAATTCGGGAACGAGAAGGAGAGCAATTTCATCAATAGGCCCAGTAAGGAGCGAGGGACAAGACCGACTGAGGAACCAAGCACCAAGAAAAGAAAGTTGTATGTGGGCTTCGATTTCAACTTGGTTATAGGTAGAGGGGGAAGAAAACAGGGAACCAGGGGGCCCTCGCCTCTGAGAAAAGGGGAAGGGATATATATCACATCTGGGAGTGGGAGCAGTGAGGGAAATGCAAGCCTGAAAAAGGGGGAGGAATCGGTTAAGGAAAAGGGTCAGGATCCTATGAGGGGGGACGCTGAGTGCAGTGAGCCGCATGTATGGCACTACGACGAATTTGACGAAAGGGCCTCACCCCTACATGCCAGAAGAACGCGAGGAAGCATATAGCCCCACGCAGGATAGCAGCAGCGATGAGAATGAGGAAGAACCCAACGAAGTCATAGATATCAGCAGTGGGGAGGAGACCGAAGAAGTCACAAAGCCAACGGAAGAAGTACAGGCGAGAGATGGGGACCCGGAGGATGAGAATGACAAATGGATACGAGAATTCGGGCCAACTTGTAACCATTGGTTTGACCAGTGGACCAGCATCATAGGGCATGACTGGGCGTTAAAGACACAGGAAAAGTTGAGCAGGGGGGAAGAGATAAATCCAACAACCTTCCTCATGGAAGGGGCGCTCGTTGACTTACAAAGGACGAAGAGGAGGATTCGGAGGGAACTGGATGCTCGGGCGAGGCAGACCCAACACAAGGCGACTGAGTAACAAGGGGACAATGGATGTAAAAGGGAGTAGCCATAGTAAAGCAAAAGGAGAGGGAAGGGATACCTGGGACAGGCAAGACTGTCGTGTTGAGTTTTGTATTTGAATTCTTAGAAATAGACGACAACGGGACGGTTTCTGGTCTAGAAATGGTTAAGGATTGAGTAGCTAGTACTACTTCGTATGAGTACTTGCTTCTTCAAAAGAACTTGAGGATCGATGAGTTTGACACTAGAGCCATGAACGGTTGACTTTGTCTAGGGAAAGCAAAAGGAAAAAGGGTACTTAGATGAGACAAGACTATGCTATTATCCTTGCATCTAATTTTTTTGAACAAACTGCAACAAGACTGCTCTCTAAATTGAGAAGTGAACAAGGACTGAGTAGCTAGTGCCACTTCGCATGAGTACTTACTTCTTCGGGAAACTTGAGGATCGATGAGATTGAGATAAAAACTGTATATGGTTTACTTTGTTTTGGGAAAGAGAAAGGGGAGGGGATTGTCAGGATTGAGGAAGTTATGGCAAAAATATTTTCTAAAATGTGCGATTGACCCTCGGTCAGACGAGTTATGGCATGAGTTTCTGAGAGAGGTTAGGGGACCTATGGGTAAAGAGGCATGAAGAAGCCTCTTCCCTAGGAGCCTAATCCAACCAATCACAAACAAGTCCAGAGCAGCAAGAGGCACGAGAGGTCAGGAAGAGAGAAAACAGTGATGGTGCACACTCCCCTCGCTATGGTTGAATGACCGGGTGAGCTAGTGCTGCTTGGGGTTGCGAGCCTCAACTTGAGCACTAGACGCTAAGTCGGATGTATGCATGGATAAGTGAATGTTGTTGACAAAGGACAAAGAAAAAAGCGTGTATAAAAACCCAAGAAGATGACAACCTTCTAACCCCGAGACAGAGATGGGATCCGTGTCCTCGAGGCCCCCCCCCTCTCGGGCACTAACACTGGAATGGATAAGGACGGCCCTGACAAGGCCGACCGATTGGAATGGATAAGAACGACCCTAACCAGGCTGTTTGATTTGAGAATGGAAAGAAATGGCCCTAACCAGGCTGTTCGACTTGAGAATGGAAAGGAATGGCCCTAACCAGGCTGTTCGACTTGAGAATGGAAAAGAATGACCCTAACCAGGTTGTTCGGAAATGAACCCTGATAAGGGTCATTTCTTTTGAAATAGGCACGGGGGTCCCCTGTAGAATTGATTGAGAGATGTTGATTGAGAAAGAGTTGGAATGAGCACTATGAGATGGAAAAGTCTGGTGGGTCGGTCATTGAAATAGTCGTAAGGATGGACGAAAGAGAATGATGTCGTAGAGAGAGAAGGGCAGAATAAAGAAGGTCAGGCCTCAAGTCGAGAAGGGCATAGACCGTTGGGACGGTCATAAGGGTTGCAAATGTGGAAGTTAAGGATTGGAGGTGGGCCGACGGGTCAGCCTTGTAAAATAGCTATTGAAGAAGCGACCACTGGATCTGTCACGAGGGGTGGCCTTGTTGAAGAGAGGCTGTCGGACCAGCCATGAGAAGCAACCATGAGAAAGAGCTGGAAACAGCATTGGATTGAGTGATGAGAATTGGATAATTGCATTGCATAAGTCAGGGGACCCTAGGCAATTTTAAAGAAAGGTCGTCGGGCCGACAATAGAAATGGCATTGAGAAAGATTTTTCCTTTTCCTCCAGTCTCTGACCTCGGCAAGGGGGGGATACCGGTGCCTGCACCGCGACCCCAAGACCTCTATCCTTTCAAGGAAAAAGCCTGAGCGTGACCTATTCCTCTTAAAAGGGGATGAGCGTTAAAGGATCAAGGCACCTATCCCTTGGATCGGTGCTGGCCGTCCGGAACTAACTCCGACAATGAGCTCTAGTCGGGGAGTTCAAACTGTGCCTCATGGTGACAGCCTAAACGTCAACGGGTGAGAGAACCAAATGGGCGTGGTGCCATTCTTATTCTAGTCTCTTTTGTTCTCTCCAACCACACGCCATACCATAGAGGAGTGGCATGGACGTTTGGGGCGGACCTCGGCTGCCTGCATTACGTTGGGCGGCACTGTCCAAGGGGAGGGGCTTGGCGTGGTACCGGGTGAAGTCCACGTCCACCACGAGGCGTTGACACCGCCTCGCCGGAACATTACAACCGTTTCGGGACTAACCGCGAGGTCATCTTACAACCAGACGAGACCTTTGAGAGGCTTGGACTGGACCTGCCTGCCAGACGTAAGGAGGAACCTCAGTGTTGGTGCTCATCGCGTAATAGCAAAGGTCGGACTGAGTAGGAGGTTGAGGTGTCACCCATTGGGGAAGAATTGATCATTTTTCCTTCATGAAGCGGATGGGCTTGCTTCCTTGGCGGCAGTCGGCAGGCCAAAGGTGTGCGTACCTCCGAGTGAGGGTCAATCGTGCGATGGGACATCGCATTTTGAGTGGGGGGAAGGTGTGTCATCTATCGATGAAAAGGCATGCAGAAGAAAAATGCTTGTGTAATTGACTTTGCGCGGACTTGAGAAAAGGCCTGGCAAGATGTCCAGAAGAGAAATGCTTGTGTAATTGACTATGCGCAGGCTTGAGAAAAGGTCTGGCAAGATGTCCAGAAGAGAAATGCTTGTGTAATTGACTTTGCATGAGCTTGAGAAAGGGGCCTGGCAAGATGTCCAGAAGAGAAAAGACTTGTGTAATTGACTTTGCATGGCCTTGAGAAAAGGCCTGGCAAAATGGGAAATGGATGAGTAATTGACTTTGCGTAGGCTTGAGAAAAGGCCTGACAAGATGTCCAGAAGAGAAACGGATGTATAATTGACTTCGCATGGCTTGAGAAAGGTCTGGCGAGATGTCCAGAAGAAAGATGCAGATGAAATGGATTGGGTGATATGTATGAAAAACGAATTGAGCATGGGTAAAAGAAAGCGCGAAAGAGGGAGATATGCATGCGAAATTGGCAGGGCTGGAGAAAAACCGAGTAAAATAGCTCGGGAAAAATACATGTGAATTTGGTTGAGCTTAAGCTTGAGGAAAGGATGACGGAAAGCATGGATTGCACGGGCCGAAGGACGCTTGGGATAGCGAGGTCCAGGGGAGAAGCCGGGGCGGCGAGAAAAGGAAAGATTGGAGGAAGGGTCTGATGTACTTCGGGTAATGAACGAGAAAAGGAAGGGTTTGATGATTTAAGAATGATGAATGAGACGGAAAGGGTTTTTTATGTTCTCAGAGTGATGAATGAGATGAAATGTTTGATGCTCTAAGAGTGGTGAATGAGATGGAAAGAGTTTTTGATGTTCTCAGAGTGATGAATGAGATGAAATGTCTGATGCTCTCAGAGTGATGAATGAGACGGAACGGGTTTGATGTTTTAAGACTGATGAATGAAACGGAAAGGGCTTGATGTTCTAAGAGTGATGAGTGAGAAGAGAGAAGTCTGAGGTAGGCTTTTGACCTTCCACACCCTCCTCCGCCCTAAGGGGCGAAAACTAAAGGAAACCCTGAGAGAGGAACAGGAAAAGACAAAAAAGACCCTGGCAAGCTAACTACATGTTTCACCCCACTCCCTCTTCCCCTCCGTCTACCCCTCCAAAAA